AGACCCATAAGAAAGGTCCGCAGGAAGGGCTATGGAGGGAAAAGTTCCAGCATGGGTACCTAGGACACCCATGACCCAATCTTTTCCTCTGTTTGTCTCCCATGGTGAGCACAGGGGCAGCAAGTGGTTGGCTATTGATAACTACAGCTGCTCCACTGTCCCCAGATGTTGCTGTGCTTGCTTTGGGCCTTTTGGTATGTTTTTCTAAGCGGGCATGGCTACATCAGAAGATACACCATTTCCTTTCATCTCAGTTGGCGTGGCTGGAAAAGGAAAAGGGAAGGGGAAAAGGGAGGGGAATGAGCAGGGCAGGGCAGGGCAGGGCAGGGAGGGTAGAAGAAAGGGGGAGAGAAAAGGGAAAGGGGAGAGAAATGAAAGACGAGGCAATGGAAACGAGAGAACAGAAGAGAAGAGAAAAGGGGAGAGGCGAGAAGAATGAAATGGAAGAGGAAAGGGAAAAGACAGGAGAAGGGAAACGGGAGAAGAAAAGAGAAAAGAGGGAGAAGAAGAAAGGGGAAGGAAAGGTGAAAAGAGAAGAGCAAAAGGAAAAGTGAACAAGGAAAAGAGAAGAGAAAGGAAAAGGAAGTGGAGAAGAGACCAGAGAAGAGGAAAGGACAAGTGGAGAGGAGAGAAGAGAAGGGACAGCTAAAATAGGGACGGGAAAGGAAGTGGAAAGGGAAAGGAGAAGGAGAAAAGGGAGTATAAAGTAAAAGGAAAAGGGAAAGGGATGTGAATCAAAGAACTCCCCTGTCTCCAGACAAGAGGCAGCCCTTTTCTCTCAGAGAGGATGCCTGCACTACGCATTTCTGCAGCGTCTCTCATTAAGAGTGATCATGAGCAACAGCAGATCACTGGTGTCTGAAAGTAGTTTCTGAACGTGCAACGTGTGTGTGATTGCGTATGTGCACATACGCGCACATACGGCAGGCAGGAAGCATTTGCCTTTATAACACCTACTCTTTTGAGAGCTACGAGAGAGAAAGGGGAATGAGTTGGGTACGGAAGTGGTCCCGCTGGTAACGTGGAGTCAAACAGATTGTGCGCCACGAAGCTCACCTTGCCAGCATGGGAAGTGAGAAGAGGGCCTGTGCCGGTGGTGTGGCTTGGGGGCTAGCTCAAGAAGAGTGGTGTGGGACTGGAAGGTCCTGGGAGACACAGAAAGCAGCACGTGGTGGAAATGCGATCCTCTGGTACGGACAGAGCAAAACAGTCCATGTGCAGGGGTGAGGTGTGATCATGTTATGAAATGACTGGAGAAGTGCCAAGGAGCTGTCCGGGTAATTGTAAGACTGCGTGACCATGGTGTCCCTGCTTTGGGGAAAGAGCAGCAGATGCCCATCATCGCAGGGAAGTGCTCGGAGAATTCCCCTCTGCAGTCTGGGGAAAGCATCTCTCCTACGTGTTCTCATGCTGCTAACAGCACGTTTGTACGTTGAACGGCATGCCAAGACACCCTTTTAATACTGAAGGGCAGCGCGTAGAGAAAAGAATTGGGTGTGCTGCACAGCCGGTCAGGGGGTTTGGGGCCCGTGATTGGAAATGGAGCAGCTGGCTGGCCGGTGCAGAGTGCATTGGCGTCTTCCTGCTCCTCATCACTGCGGGAGGTGCCGTGCTCACCGCCAGAGTGCAAGTCAAGGTCCTGCTTCCTGGGCAGCCAGCAGAGCCCAAAGAGCAGACGAGGCCTCCAGCAGAGGCCCCGAACTGCCACCTATTCCACACAGTGAAGACCACTGGGTTCTTGGCAAGCCTGCTCAGCTCTTGGATCACGTGCCCAGACTCCTGCTGCAGTAGAGCCATCTCCTGCCTCAGCTGCTCCTTGGGCTGCTGCTGAATTTCCAGAACCTTCTTTGAGCGTCATCGTAACAGGCTCCGGAGACGATCTTGCAGCTCCCTGAACTGCTGCAGCGCCTGGGCGTGGGCATCCGGCTGCTGTGCCAGGTACTGGAAGAGGTTGAGCGGGCTGGCCGTTTGGAAGGCTGGTGGCAGGGACACCTCCCCGGGCACCCTCTCGTTGCCTAGGAGGAAGTGGTGCAGCTGTTTCTCCTCCAGGCAGCGGTGCAGGTAGTGCAGGATGTCATCGAGCCGCTGCAGGAGATCCCGCCTGTGCCAGCCTGACAGAGCTGTGACTGTGAGCAGGTGCATCAACACAGTTTTCAAGCAGTAGGGGGACAAGGCTGTGGCCTCCAGGAGATGGGCAAAGAGCTGCAGACACGTCAGGTGGCAGCTGTCGCGGGGGACGTGCCTGGCCACGAACCTGAAGAACAGCATCTCTGCAACAGCGCAGCTCTCCAGCCAAGTTGTGCTGCTGCTGAGGCCGGCCTCTGCCTCCTGGCTGGTCAGGAAAACTGCCGAGTCGCCTTGCTGCACCCCAAGCAACATGTCAATGGCCAAGGAGTTGCCAGCGGTGTTTTCCAGGTGGAGCTTGCAGGAGCGGGAGGAGGGCAGCACCGTCAGCTGGCAGTGGTGCGAGGCAGGCAAAAGCAGCCAGGCGTTCATGACTATTAGGTGGAGCCAGTGGGCGGTTTTCTCTACGTCCAGGTAGCAGTGGCTGCACAGGTATTGCAGGAGGAAAGGGCCCTGATTTCCACCCAGCTCAGCCTCGCCGGGGTGCAAGAAGCAGCACACGTCGCCCAGCAGCCGCTGCCTCCAGCACGCGGACCCGGGCCGTCCCTCGCGGGCACCTGCCCGCCAGTGCCCAGCTCCAGGTGGAAGGAGAGCCCAGTTGGTGGCTTCAGGGGCACGAGCAGGCTGTAGACGGTGTCCCCACGGGAGCTCCAGCCTTCGAAGGTGCTGCCCACCCCGATGCATGCTTGCAGCCGAGGCAGAACCGTCTTCCAACTGATTAGATGGCAGGCGCGGAGCAGGTCGCCCACTAGCGCCTCCACCAGCTGGCACCTATTGGCCAGGTGCAGCTCTGGCAGCTGCATTTGCTGCATGAGAAACCTTCCCAGGTCCCATTCATTGACACGGGCTTCCTCTTCGTGCTCACTGCTGGAGGAGCTCTCGTCACCGCTGCTGTCAGACTCGTCAAAGTCCAGCTCGGTGGCCATCCAGAAGAGCCGCAAGAGCAGCCCAAGGACTCCAGCAAAGGCCCCAAACAGCCCCATGTCCCACATGACCAAGAGCACGTCTTTCCAGAGAAGCTTGTTCTGCAGCTCCTCAGTCATGTGATCAAACTGCTGCTGCAGCTGAGTCATCTCCTGACTCAGCTGCTCCTCACGCTGCTGCATCTGCTGCTGCGTGGCCAGATCTATCTGGTCACTGACCTTCAGCGCCTGCAGGACGATGCCCAGCATGGCCAGGACGAGGACAATACCCACAGCCATGGCCTAGAGGAGATGGGAGAGAAGGTGGTGAGCCAGGCTGGGTGGCAGAGAGCTTGCAGATTGGGGGCAGGAGCTGCAGGCACGAAGGGGCAGGATGGGAGAGGTTGTGAGGAAGCTTGGAGGTAGCGAGGATGGCTTTGCGAGGGCTGCCTTAGCGGGGCCCACCATCCACCCCAAGGAAAGCGCTTGGGCCCTGGTGCGCGCGGGTTCGATGGGGACGCAAGCTGTGGATGTTGCCGTGGTGGGAAACATGCTTGCGAGCCTGCCCTGAGGCCCAGCACCGTGTCCAGGCTTTTCGCCGGGGGCAGAGGTGTAGAAAGGGCAAGTGGCACCAGAGTGGGGAGTCCCGGGGAAGCAGTGTCCCGCAGAGCTGTGGGTGCGCAGCACATGCCCAGCACGCCTCTGGGCAGCCGGGGTCACTGGGAGCCCCGGGCACGTCTGTCCCCAGCCCGCAAGGCGGCAACGTCCCCCACCCAAGGCGCTCCTGTGTGGGGCTCAGCCCTTGCCCTCCTGCCTGGGCTCGCCCAGGCCAGAGTGCTGTGAGCCCAGCAGCGCTGCGGGGCCAACGCCTGCGGGGGCCGCGCCCTCCCTTTGTGACTTGTCCTCTGTGATGTCACGGGGCCAGAGCCCCTCTCCAGGGCCAGCCAGCCAGCCCTGGCCATCATCTCCACGCCGCCGCCGTGACACAGCCCTGCCTTGGGCAGCCAGAGCCAAGGCCCCGGCATGCACCACGTGCGAGCCCATGCAGCAGCAGCAGCACAGCGTGCCTGTTGGCCCCCCTCACCACGTGGGCACAAGCACCCAAAAACGCCCTTAGCCCTTATGGGAGCGAAGAAGAGGGACTGTGGAAGGAGGTCCTCGACTTCCAAAGAGAGCTTCAGTATTTGCCGAGCCAGGCGGAAGGGCTCCGGCTTGCAGCTGCTCCCGGTGCATGCCGAGAAGGACGAAGCTCGAGGCAGGGAGGAAGGTGTATGATCAGAAGTCTCCGCAAGAGAAGCAAAGCAGATGGGGAAAGTCTGTGCAGAAGTGTAAGCAGTGCTAAGGCACGTTGGAGGCCAAGTTTCTGCCTATGTTCCAGAGGAGAGATGGAGGCAAGGGGTAACAAACAGAGCACAAACACTAGCGCGCACCAGGCTGCCGTATTTCTCCAAATCCCGGACAGCTCGTTCTCGGCAGCTAGCACGCCAACATTTCTGACCTGCATCAGATGCAGGTCACACTTCACGTGCTCAACAGGCAGAACTAGGGCACCCCTGCCAGCGTCAGCACGGCCAGCACGGTTAAAGCTTTGCAGATGTGCTGCACTCAAAGCACACACACCAGCACTGCGGGCCACATGTCGAGGATACGCTGGCCTCACTGCATGTGTGTGACACAACACCTGCACGCCTATTTGTATTTGGGACCCCTCCATTGAATACAACCCTCGTGTGTAGGGGAAGACTCGTAAGCTCTTTGATAATCATCACACCAAAAGAGCTGTGCAGAAACCCCGGCTCCTTTCCACCATGGAGCCAGAAGGGGCAGAACACAGCCAGTCTATCCACGACAGGCAAAGCCATCCCAATCATCTCCCAACCGAGGGGTCACAGGCTGCCGCACCATTTGAGGCTTCACTTTGCACACATCCCACCCTCCCCGAGCAGCCCTGCCGAAGCTCACGCACACCCCGCGCCATCTCTGTTGGCCACCACTGCCCTCCATGTCGTGGACCTTCCACAGCTTCACCATTTCCACTTAGGCAACAAGAGGGTGCCCAGTGAGGCCCCTGTCCCCAACCTTTCCAATGGCCAGTCTGCTCAACCTCTTCTGCAGTCATGGAAGCCATAGTTAAGGTGGGTGGGAGATGCTGGAGGTGTAGTTGAAGCTTCATAAAGCACGTCTTGTTTGAGCAGTGACCAGAGAGATCTGGCCATGCAGCAGTGGATGCAGCAGCACGAGCAGCAGCTGAGGCAGGAGATGCCTCAGCTGCAGCAGGAGTTTGAGCACATTCAGAAATGTGTAGTACAGGCATCCTCTCTGAAAGAAATGGGCTTTTTCTTGTCCAAAGATGGGGAGCTTCTTTGTTTCAGATTCCTTTCCCTTTTTCTTTTACTTCATATTCCATCTGCTCCTTCCCCTTCTCACTTCCTTTTTCCATTGCCTTCCTTTTGCTTTCTTTTCCCTCCCTTCTTAACCTGTCCCTCCTATTTTCTACTCTTCTCTTCTCTTCTGTTTCCCTTTCCTTCTTTCATTTTTCCCCTCCTTGTCTCTTCTCTATTTTTGCTGCTCTTTCTCTTCTCCCTTTTCTTCTTTTCCTTGTTCACTTTTCCTTTTGTTCTTCTCCTCTTTTCACCTTTCCTTCCCCCTTTTCCTCTTTTCTGTTCTCTTTTCTTCTCCCATTTCCCTTTTATCATCTTTCATTTTTCTCTCCTTTCCCTTCTCCCCTTTCTTCTTTCCTTTACTCTTCTGTTTCCCACTCCACTCCTCTCCTCTCCCCCCTTTTCTGTTCTCTTTTCTTCTCCTGCTTCCCATTTCATTTTTCTCCCCTTTCCCTTTTCAGGGAAGATGTGATCTTTGCCATGTGGGACATGGGGCTGTTTGGGGCCTTTGCTGGAGCCCTTGTACTGCCCTTTGGACTCTTCTGGTTGGCCACTGAGCAGGCCATTGATGAGTCTGACAGCAGCAGCGGTGAGGGCTCCAACAGCAGCAGCGGTGAGGGCTCCTCCAGCAGCAAGGAGAAGGAAGAAGATGAGGAACAGAAGGATGCTGCTGCAGCACACAGGCTTTCTCCTGAGCAGCAGCTGGACTCCCCGGGCAGGAGGGCACTGGAGACCTTCTATGAGCAGCACCTCTGGGGGCCAGTGCAGAACATGGCCAACACCTGCAAGGCAATGGGGGAGCTGGTGAGCTGCCTCACCCATTGCCTATCAGATGGTCTCTTTGAAGACTTTCCTGCCATGGCTGGAACTGTGCGTTGGGGCGGGCAGCGTCTTTGAAGGCTGGAGCCACCACAGGGAGGACACCATCTGCAGCCTGCTCCTGGCCTT